GTCATTCTGCAAAACAGATAGCCTACTGTACTCTTCAAAAATGTCAAGGTCATAAAAAGCAAGGACTGAGCAAAATATTTCAAGAGATTGAAGAGATGATAACTGAGTGTTATGTATGATTCTGGAGTCGATCATGGATCAGGAAAACAAAGAGATGCCCTTGTTTTTAGGAAAACAAACTATAAAGGGTAAAGGGGTATCATACTTTCAACTTCTTAAACCATTCAGGGAGGGGAAAATAAAAGTTTGTGTGGGAAATCTGGGCAAAGGGTACACAGGAACTCTTTGTACTACATCCATGACCTTTTTAGAAGTCTGAAATTATTTCAAAATAAAGTACGTTTTTAGAACCTAACAGAAAACACCAACGTAGCTGGTTGAACACTCTGTGCCAGGAGGTCTGCACGTCTGCTACCCCTGCTTCTGCTCTGGCTCTGCTGGCACGCCACAGGAAGTCCCTTACTCTGCCTCTCTCCCACTTTTTAAGAAATGATAAATTTATAAATTGTATACATTTGAAGAAAGTTCTAACAATACAAAATTAAACAGAAGTCAAGGTGTCCCTTGACGTTCTCTCTGTCCCTCTGCCTCCACTACCACCACCAGAGTTTCCACTGTTAACAGGATGGTTGTCACCTTATAAACACGCCTGGGCTGGCACAGGTACACTAATGTGTTCACACGTGCACGCACATACAGAGTCTCCCTCATTCCCCTCGAGTCCCCAAGACTACTAAACTTTTTTTCGTATCTTTTTAAAACAACATTGCCATAGGCATATTCCTTAATAAATACATATAGCCTTGTTTCATTCTTTACTATTTCATTTTGGGTTTTTTTGCTAATGAAGGCTTTCATTGTCCCTAAAACTAATTGTCCAGGATTGATAAACTCACTTGAATGGTAGAACCATCCCTGAGGACACTGGGATACTTGGTAGCCCACAGAACTGAAGGATATGCCAAATCAACAAGATCCCAGCAGACATCAGGACACTCTGAAGACCTCAGTGACGGGAGTTCAGAGATGTTTTCTAGTGAAGACTATCAGCATGGCCCAGCTCCAGCTGCCTTTATTTTCTGGATGTCTGCTCTCAAGGTTGAAATCTTCAGAACGAAAAAAAAAAAGACATGTGTGGTCACTTTGGGCAGCATCTGTCCCTTAAAGAGTCAGCTATTATCACGGGAGTAAGAGCACAGAGCCCAGACATTGGCCTCCGGCCACCCTTCCCACAGAAGAAGGACCAGCAGGGCGGCTGCCCAGCCAACTTCTCTTCCAGGAGGCTCTGATTCCTTCATGTCTGGTCTGTTCCAGTCTCTCCATAAGTATAGAAAATTCTTTTTTTAACCTTCCTATTCACAAATAACTCTTAAGCTTTATTTACAAGTAAATAATGAAAAGGTTTTTGAACGATTCCTTCAACAGTCCGAATGCGGTAACTGACTCCGAGCTGAGAGCGTTGTAGCGGGTGAACGCAGACCTCCAGTTCTCTGGAGCTTCTGAGGTGGAATCATTCGGCTTTCGTCGTCACATACACCAGGCATCACAGAGGTTGTTAGATAACGCTGGTTTTTTCTGTTGAGTCACCTGCAGTAAGGTGAAAGGGGTGTCTGGGGACGGGGGTGGTGGAGAAGGGGGGAGATTCACCTATGTGGAACCACAGAAGTTTCGGAATACTGAGGTATTTTTAGGAACTATGGCACCGTATCTTAGTTCCGGCTGCTGTAACAAAATGCCATGTACTGGGCGACTTCAATAACAGACAGTTTTCTTAGTTCTGGAGGCTAGGAGGTCCAAGATCAAGTAGCCAGCAGATGTGGTATCTGGCAATGGCCCGCTTCTTGGCTTGCAGACCACCACCTTCTCACTCCGTGTTCACGTGGCCTTTCCGTGGCATGTGTTCGTGGTGAAATAGATCCCTGGGCTTCTTATTCTAAGAGGACTAATCCTATCATAGACGCCCCACCCTCATAACCTCATCTGAACCTAATTACTTCCCAGAGGCCCCACCTCCAAATATGATCGCATTGGGGTTCAACTTATGAATTATGGGAGGACGCAAACATTCAGTCCATAATATATAAGCATATGGATTTGAAACTGCTCTTGTGTACTCTTCAATATACTAGACTAGACTACTTAGGATACTGTGTTTGTCAACAGTGTCATTATCCCTCCCAGAGGGGCCCAGTCTTCGAGGATCTAGTGAACTGTGCTACAATGTTTGGCCACAATGTTTCAGGCCACCTTGACGAGACTGTTAACTGGCCCTGTGGCCAGTCAGGTTGGGTTGTTTCTAAGTAACTACTTATTCTCAAATTGGTATGGTACTGATATTCAGAAACTGTCCTTTCTGCTCACCAGGTAAATAAGACAACATTTACAAATGGAAAAATTTCAGTTCATTAGAAGAAGGGTTTGGTGAAAAGTTGATTTTGAAAGGCACAGGTTTCCCCTTTGACCTAGCGGTCACCTTATCCTGACAGCATTTCATGCGAAGTCACTGTGGCCAGAAAGTAATCTTATTAGCTTTTAACTAAAAGCACAAGGCGTTTTTTCATGTCTCCCCCTCTTAATCTATCTCCCTCTTTTTTCATCTCTCTCTCTTTCTTTTCTTTTCTTCCTCACTTCCCTGTTCTCCCTCCCCACACCCTCGGCCTCCTCTTCATCCTCTTTGAGCATTTAAAATGTTTTGGGCTTGGCTAATCCCTATGGATAGAAACCAAGCTGAGCAGGATATTGATTACCAAATATGGTATTGCTGCTAAAGATGTTAGAGGAATGTGGCCTGTCTTCTGAGCCTCCAGCCTCTGAATAGGCTGCCAAACAAATTAGGTCATTTTAACTTCTTAGCTTTTTTAATAAGGAGCTGGAACTTTGATTTGGAACACGGTAGTGGTGGTATTTTAGCTCAGATGTGAAGGGAGGGGTATGGTGAGTGGGTGGGGATTGGGGGAGATTCCCTTCGGTGTGTTGAAGGACCAGGTTGTGTGCAGGACGCAAGCACATTGTGTGGCGCCTCTGTGGACACATGGAAAAGCCGAGGCATCGAATTCAGATGTGCAGCCGCATGATCTGAGGCTAGAAGTTCCTGAGGACAACTGACCACTCCCAGGATGTTCTCGTGTTCTAGTGGCCCTAGCAACATGCTGAGGTTGGCGTGAGTTCAGATTTAGGCAATTGCTTCTCCACAAAAAGGTTGGTGGAGTGGAGCACCAGTGAGGACACCCTGACATTGATGGCAGGTCGTTACTACATGTGGCTGAGCGATTGTGGTGTGAAGATGCAAGTCCTACCCCAGCGTACCTTTAAATGACACACAGGGACTGCGCTTGCCTCCCAGCAGAGACCACAGCTCTTCAGGTCCATATTTAGAAATATTTATTCTGTTGTGATATTGGCTTTGATGGAGTAAAATGCTCTTGAGTGGAGTGAATGGAAGCAAACGCTACTTCCACATTCCGCTCTGTTCTTTTTCCTTAATATGTTTTTGGCAAGACAATATTAAGGTTTCCCAAATTAAAACAGACACTGAGACCAGTTAAAGGAAGAATTTCTTTTTCTGTTTCATATAACTGGCACCCCCTTTTCACTTCTGGTTGTTGGTCAGGGCTGTGCAGTGGAGCCCCCTTCTTCCTGCCCACCCCACCCCTCCAGGATGTCTGTGGGCCAGGGCTCTGTGGCTCTTGCACCTCCCACAGAACCTGTCATTCCTCCACCACCCCACCCCACCTTAATTCTCTTACTGCGGTTACCGTCCTGTCACACGCTCTTCCTCCCATCTTTGGAGCGAATCCTGTGAAGTCGGCTGTGCATCCTGATTGGCAGAGTCAGCGATTCTTACCAATTTCTGGTGGGAATCGCTCTTGTTTCTCTTCGAGTTAATCAAGAACAAGAGTGGAGGCTTTGGGGCCCACAGGCCTACCCGTGTTTTTTAGGATGCAGTAGTCATTTCAGAACTTCTTTTCCAGAACATATCCAGACTAACGGGACCTAAGTGCAATTTGGATGCACATTTTCACACCATCCTGGGATATCTTTCTGATGCTATGGTTTAGGTTCAGAATCCGTGTTAGTGGACAGATGTTATGAGATGATTTGTTATGCTTAGCAATGGAGGCATTCTTGAATGCTGAGAGGGTTTCAAAACAGACTCACTTATCTCGCCCTAAATCTTGTATTTTATAGTGTTTGTGATTTATATCATTGAATGTTTTTGTTTTAGGTAAACTGCAATAAAAGGTTCAAGGGTAATTGAAATGACTGTCCTCTCTCTGCCCCTTATAATCTGTTGCTTCTCTGTGTCTCTAATAAGCCAGCTATAATTAAGATTAGGACTTAACCATGTCAAGACATTTAGATTTTATACAAGTTTATAAGTTGACTGGAATTAAATGATACTTGTTATATTGAAATCTTAAAACGGTTGAGTTCCTGTCTTCTTAGTAATTCAGATACATGTATCATTTTTGAAAGCTCTCCAGTTAGATGGGATGGGAGCATCACCCTTCTGGAGGTGATGAGAATGAAGGCATTGAAGAATTACATTGTTTTAAGTCACTGTTAAGTCATTGTTTTAAGTCACACAGGTCAAACCTGGGCCTTTTGCATTTCAGGTGTTAGACTTTCTAGTATTGCACAGGGCTTACTGCTAATCCTTTTAGTCTTATTGGCAACTATTAATGAAAATTTGTGAGTATGCGCATAATTTGCTGGTCTGCATTTAACACTTGAATTTGAAAGTTTTTGTCCAAGAAGAAACACCATGAAAAAAACTTGAAAACCCATGTAACTAAAAATGAAGTAAACGAAGCGGCCCTGGCTTCCCGGACACGCCTTGCTCGGCCGTGTGCTTTGTGCATGCAGCAAGAATGGGAGCTCTCGCTGACTTTCTTTCTTTTTCAGATAGGCCAGGATTTACTGCTGTGTTTACTTTGTCACCATTCCGGTTTGACTCTAAGGAAATGAAAACATCTTCCATTTGTTCTTTATTTCCAAAGGGCATCCGCTTCGATCCTGAAATTCCGCAAACACTGCGACTAGAGTTTGCTAAGGCAAACACGAAGATGGCCAAGAACAAACTAGTAGGGACGCCAAACCCCAGTACTCCTCTGCCCAACACTGTACCTCAGTTCATTGCCAGAGAGCCATGTAAGTGCATCTACTTTTCATTTTCAAGGAAAAAATGGATAACAAAGGCTTGTCCCTGTGCTGCCTGTGCGGTCACACCACAGGACAGCACGCTGGCTGCGTGTCACTTCCCCGTTCTGTGGACAGGCTGCTCGCGCTTGCTGTCCGAACTCCAAATACAGCTGCCTTGTTTGTGATTGGCTGTCTCGAAAGATTGGCTGGGTCAGGGCTAGAACTGCAAAATTGCGTTTGATGTGTCGTAGATTTCCGTAATGGTCTTGACTTTGTCACGAGGATGCCCTGTTTGCCTTGGAGTATAAACCTTTTTTTATTTCCCCATCCGTGGACATGAGAGCTGGTTCTCAGCATTCACTTCATTCATGGAAAAACATCAGTTCTGTGGTTTTGGGGGAATACAATGATAAATGTGAAAGAAGCAGCTATTAAGAAATCTATTCTATTTTTGAGAACAGTTCAGCCATAAATCTTGGAGGGGCCGTAAACGCCCACACACACAAAGCATTTATATGTTGGAACAACCAGTTCCAGCAAACTACTTACTACCGGTAAAGCTTCAAGGAAATGTAGGGCTTTCTGTTTTAAACTAAGTGGGTAAGGACACCAATTGCTAAACACCTAACCCACCTCATAGGCTTATCTCCTTAAATATCCAGGCTACAATTCCTGTGTTTGATTGAAAAGGTTGTCTTCGTTTTCTTTCTCAAGCTCAGTCTCTAGCAGAAGTGAGGCGTGAGAGAGGCCTTACCTTTCGCTCTCCTGCGTAGCCGTACGCGATTTCAAGTGGCCGGGCGTTCGAGGAGCCCCGAGGGGCGTGCTGTTGTTTGGCATATTTCTGGACTATCATTCATCTTTCCCAACCACGTGACTTTCTCCTCGTCTTCCTGCTTCCTCTGACAATATGTTTCAACTTTTCTCATTGAAATTGAAGGTCACATGGGTTCTTTTCTTCCCCTGCCCTGTGCCTGTCAGATTTAATCAGGTTGTGGTGGAAGTGGCAGTCATTCTGTAGCTCAGTCACTCTGGAGAAAGCTGCTCCTTGTCAGTGGAAACGAACAGATAAAAGAGTTTCTCCCCCAGTGTGTTCTAAAATGTTTCTATGAAGCCACAAAGTAATAACAGAGAAAAAAGTTTTTGTTCTTCCACGTCCTAGGGAAACTTGGAGTCTTTGTTTATTTGAGAAGGAAATCTACATGGAAGTTTCACTTTCAGGTGCAGGGGCACTAAAGGAGGATGTGCGGACATTTCTCACACAGTCCTGTATCCCCGCAGTCTAGCTCAGGCCTTTGCATACTGCATTATATTTAATAAATATGTTACAGCGATGATGAACGGATAAAGTAAAAAAAATTTTAATTTAGCTATTTGCAGAATTATTTTATCTGTATGCCTCTGAATATTTTTCTGAATTTTTTTCCTCATGTTTAAGGCATCGGAAAAGGGTATGTGTAGGATACCTGGATTTAGAAAAGATAACCTAGAGTAACTTTAGTTTTCTAAAGAATTTGCCTGCCTCAGATCTCAGGGTACTTTGGAAAGATTAATTCAGACAGGAAGTGTAATGCTGGCAATACTTGACCCTTTCGGTTCTCTATGGAATGCTTTCTCTGGGAGGTCAGATGTTTTCCCAACCTGCTGCGGCAGCTCTGGGAAGTAGGTAGCTGAGGAGGTGAGAGCCAGTTCCCAGCAGGGTAGACCAGAGCAACGGAGATGAGCCAACCGAACGTCCACAAGTCCCCGAAGTCGCAGGAGAGCTGAGCCCCGGCCAGCTCTGCCTGCCTCCCTTCCCTGTGTACAGGACAGCTCAGAAGTGCTCAGAGAGTTTCCATGGCGGGGTCAAGATTTGCCTGGCTGTTCATGGCAAAGCTTGAAGTTAAAAACAAGCTTGAAGTTAAAAAAAAAAAGACATCCAAACAAGTATTCTTGAGAAAATAAAAGTTAGCTTGATTTCCCTTAATATAGCTCCTTTTTACGACAGAGAGGCCTTGACAAACAGTTCCACTGTGACTCAGATCGACCTGATCATCTATTACGATTTCCTCTGGGGACTGGGAACTTCCCTGACACATCCGCAGATCCGTTGCCTTTCTGGAAGCGCAGTGCAGACTAAGGAGGTTGGTGGTTCTGAACTGGCAGATACAAACGCGTTGTGCACAGATCTGCTGCTCGAGGTGGTTGGCTTCGTCACCTGCCAGGAACAGACTGCCACAGAATCATAGACTTCAGGGGTTGGAAAAGTCCTGTAGGCGTCTCTGTTGTAGGCCACGGGGGAAAGTTTTTTAAGAAATGCTTCTTTTTGTTGATGTTTTTACATGGTAGTGGCTGAGAAGTCCCCACTGCCATCACTAAAGGAAGAATTTGCTATGATTCGATTGTACAACTAGTATTTCCTTGAACTCTCATTTCTCACATAGCTGTTGAACTTAAATGAGCACCCAGTATGCTAGACACGGGGGAAGAGGGAGCTGTGGTTGTTGCCTTAGAAGAGCTGTCAGTCCAAGGGGTGGGTGATGGGTAAGTTGTCAGGAAACTCGGCCTGTGCAAAGGCTGTAGGAGATTCCTTGCAGCTTAGTGTAGATTGTTCCCAATCAGACCATCAGGTTTGCTGCTCTGTTTGGGGCAAGCATAAAGATCGAGAAAACCAGGTGTTGCAACTGCCAAGGTAGAGAGGGTGGCCTTGGCGAAGACCCTGGGCCTGGGCCTTGGAGATGTCAGGGAGAGGTCTGGCGCTGACAGTTATTGTCGAGCTTTGTGACCCTAAAGAACAGCATTTAACCTTGCAGTGCCCCTGTCCCCTCAGCTATAAAATGGGACTAATACCTTCTTCTCATGATTATAGAGCTAAATAAAACACCTATCATATGATTGTGTTGAGGATGAAATAGGTGTTATATATGTAGAGTACTAGGCAAATGTAAGGTACAGCCTTTTTCTTTTCCTAGTATTTTTTGTTGATTTTACAGCGAAAGGAAGGAAAGAGAAACATCAATGTGAGAGAGAAACATTGATGGATCATTTGCCTCCCATACACACTCGACAGGGGATCAAAACCAGCAAACCAGGTGTGTGCCCTGAGCAGGAATTGAACCTTTTGGTGTATGGGTCGACGCTCCAACCAACTGAGCCACCCGGCCAGAGCAATCTTAATTTTTTAAAAAGGCACTGAGTTGCTTTTTTTCCTAATAGTTAAAAGTAGGTATTGATCTTATGAGGTATCATCACTGTGTGACTATAACTAGTTGTCTTGTCAAATTATGAGAAAGAATGAAGAAAAGTCAAGTGCAATCCCAGTAAAACAGTACATTTCCCTAACTAGATTTTATTAATTTGAGCTTCCCCCTCTCATACTCTCCTGTATGTAATAAAGTAAGAAAAATACTAGAAGAAAGCAGAAAGTAAGAGATGTAGAAAAGTTATGTGATATAACATTCTTCTGGATGATGCACTTGACTGCACAAACAAAGTAGTGTCCTGTGCTGTTAAGAACTCCACTTTGGAGGGGAAAACAGGGTGAATCACCATCGCTCTGAGTTTTGTTTTTCTCATGTGTATAATGATGATACTCTGTGCCAGACACTCTGCTAAATATTTTGCATGAATTACCTCATGATTCTCAATAGCACTTTTTGACATTGGAAGAAACTGAGACCTAGGAAGGTTCAGGAACTTGCTTGAGATTACACAGCCATCAAGTGTTACGGGTTGAATTGCATTTTACCAAAATTCGTATGTGGAAGTCCCAATCCCACGTAGCTCCAAATGTAACCATATTTGTAGGTAGGTCTTTAAAGGGATGATGAGATTAAAATGAGGCCATTAGGGTGGGTCTTGATCAAATATGACTGGTGTCCTTATGATAAGAAAGAGAGACACCTGGGATGAGCTCACCGAGCAAGGGCCATGTGGGACACAGCGAGCAGGCACTGCAAGCAGAGGGCTCAGGAGAAGCCACACCCGCTGACACCTTGACCTTGGACTTCTAGCCTCTAGAACGGTGAGAAAATTAACTTCTATTGTTTAAGCCATTCAGTCTGTGATATTTTGTTTATGGCCTGAGCAGAGTAATACATCAAGTGAGAGAGCCTGGCATTAAATTCTGTATGTAATAAAGTAAATTCGTCCAGCTGGTGTGGCTTAGTGGTTGACCATCGACCCATGCACCAAGAGGTCACCGGTCGATTCCCGGTTAGGACACATGCCCAGGTTGTGGGCCCGATCCCCAGTGGGGGACATGCAGGAGGCAGCCAACCGATGTTCTCTCTTATCGATGTTTCTCTCTTTCTCTCCCTCTCCTTTTCTCTCTCTAAAATCAATAAAGGAAAAAAAAATTTTGGTTTTAAATAAATAAATAAATTCTGGTCTGTCACTTCATTTGTTTTGTAACTTTGGTCTAGTTACTTAACCTCTCTGTGTCTCATCTGTAAAATGGCAATAATGGCACCTACCCATAGGGTTGTGACAATTTAATTAATTGACAAATGTAAGTTAGAAGAGGGCCCCAGGGCAAGTACTCGGTGACTGTGAATATGTGCATGCAAGAATGTCTGTGCCGCCCTGGCAGGTTTGGCTCAGCGGTTAGAGTGTTGGCCTGCGGTCTGGAGAGACCCGCTAAGGTTCCTGCTAAGGGCACGTACCTCGGTTGCAGTTTGTCCCCGGCCCTGGTTGGATCATGTGGGTGGCAACCACTCGATGTGTCCCTTCACATCGATGTTTCTCTCTCTCCCTCTCCCTCTCCCTGTCCCTCTCTCCCTCCCTCCCTTTCTCCCACTCTATCTGAACAAAATATCGAAAAATGTCCTTGGGTGAGGATTAAAAAAAAAAAAAATCTATGCCTGTGTCCCTCATCTTTCTGAGGTCTTACAGTTTTTCTGCCTTTATATACTCAGCATCTAGCACCTAGAAATACATGTGAAGTTTTTTTAAAAATGCCACATATTTTATTTTAGGCTTTTTCATTTGGAATTTTTAAAACTTACAGTGTTATTGAGGTATGAATGGATATG